ACTGCAAATATATTAGTAACATATCAAAGCAATAAGCACAACAAGCAATATGGAATCCTAACGTCACACATTTTGCCCCTACTCTCTCTGAACAGCTACTATGTGCTTCAAGGTAAGCTATCTAGGTCTAAAGCATTTAGGATTATCACATCTACCTTGCCAAAGGATTCAGTTAAAAAATGGGTAGAAATTAAAATCTAAGCTAATTAGTATATGGCATTTCTCCATCCACAAAGATAAGTTTTGGTTGTCCATTAAGAGTGAACTACATGCATCCCCACCATCCCCTCCCTGGGGATGGCTGAGGTGGGGGGGGAGTGGTGGGGAGTAAATGCAGAACAACAATAAAATAATTTTTTAAAAAAGAGTGAACTATAGGAATTATTTTTAGTTGGTTGCTGGAAACAAAAATTATTGTCTTTCTTTTATGGCATAATAATATACAAGGCTTGGGAATGTTGCAGCCATTCCGGTATTATGCAAAGTTGCAGGTAAAAAGCCAACAGAAATGTGTCAAAATAGAATCTTGACCATTGCATACCTGAGGCCCAAATTACAACTTAAATATAAGATTATGTAAAGCAATAATTTTTATTTTTAAAGGCAGTTTGAGTGAGCTTTTTGCACACACAATAAGGGGAACATAGACTTCAATAAATGATTTCAGTATAGCGACTTACCCATTTAGGAGAAAACAAAACCTTTTTCCTTACATCAAAATAAACTCCAAACACAGCAAATATATGATGTACTGTAAGGGGTCCCTAAAGATTCCAGGAAATATCAGTTAATGGTTATATAGCTTTAGGCTTTAGAAGGACCCAATAAGCATTATAGCTAATGCAGAAAACATGGAAATGATTAATAAGTTTGACTAAATAAATCTTTAACATTTTGAATGTTCCATACTGTAAACAGTTATATGGCAAATATGATATTGGGAAAAATTTTGTAATATATGAGACACAGTTATTGACATTATTAAAACACTTTTTAAAGTTCTCATAAATTAATAAAGAAAAGACAATAGAAAAATGGGGAAAGTATTATGAACTAGCAATTTACATGAAAAAAGTTTAATATCAAATGTTAAAAAATAAAACAAGAAAGGAAAGTAACATTTTTTTGAGTACTGGATTTACAAAGTTAAGAAAAATGATGCCAAGGATGTATATCTAGTGAAGGTGTAAACTTATCTTCCTAAAGCGTAATTTTTTTTCATAGGTCTTAAAAGTATGCATAAGTCAGTAATTAATGTCCAAAGAACATGTATAACTACATAGCAACAAGGATATTTATCCTGTCACCATTTTTAGTAATGAAAAACTGAAGTCAACTCATGAGATTTTCAATCTGTTTCTACTAACTCCCTATCTTAATTTGGGTGTAGCTAGAAACAGACCCTTGAGACAAGGATTTGAGTACAAAGAGTGAATTTTTAAGATAATCTCAAGAAATATTATAGGGGAGTGAGAAATGAAACAGAGAAGGAAAGAAAGCCATTAAAAGGTATGTTGTCAAACAATCATCACTGTGGGCAACAGGAACTAACTTATGCAGATAAATTCTGGGAAGCCAGGTAGAACACTGTCTCAGGGTTATTCTGCCCAAAGGGTGGGAAATCTGGGGTCTCCCTTTATCACTCTCCTTAGCCATTAGTTGAAAGCACCTGGAACTAGAAAAGGGATTGTTAATTCTCTGGCACTACTGGGTGGCCCACTTGTAAGCACAGTAGATTCCAGCAGCCTGGAAAAGCTGGCGAAAATTCAAAAGTTCTGGCAGTTGGAAGTTGGACCTGCGTGCACAAAAAAGTAAAGTGGCAAGGAATGCAAGTGTGAAGTATCAATAGCATGTACTACATCCCTGCCCTCACCTATCCACTGCCAAAACATTAAAGCAGCAATATATTCTAGTGGTTAGGAGCATGGGCTTTGTGGTCAAAGTTCTTGACTGAAGTCTAAACTGCCACTTTCTAAGCTGTGTGACCTTAATCACTGTGGTCCTAAGAGTTCTCATCTGTAAAATAGCAACTGAACTACCAGTCTCATATGGTGGGAGTCTCACATGAGATAACATTTGTAAAAGGTCTAGCAATAGCAAGCAGCTTTTATTATCAATTATACCCCAACTCCACAGTATTGAACACCAGGCCTTCCTTCATGCTCTGTGTTCAGCTTTCTTCTTCAGTTTTATCTAGAATCCCCTCAATTTTCTCTAAGTACTCCTGTGTCCTAGCCATAGGGAACAGGGTCTAGTGCTCTGAACACATACACTTGCTGCATTCTAGTGTGAAACTGGAATGCTTTCCCTTCAGCCACTCTTTAAGAATTGACACAAGTCACTTCCACTATGAAATCTTTCTGGAATTCCTCAAGTAAAAGGAACATTACTTCCTTTTCTTAACTGTACTATATAGCATCATACATATTTTCATCACAATGCCTACTATAGATTAGTATATTCCTGTCATGAGACTCCTTCAGCGCAATACAAAATTTTACTCATTACATATTTATCGAAAAATATAGTTATGAGTAGGCAAACATTAGAATTTACAGCCTATCACAGAAACATGCAAACCAGAAAACAAAAGAATTCCATATTACACTAAATACTATTTAAAAATAAACAATGACAGGGAATGCCTAACACTTGATTGAATGAGTAAATATTGCTTAGAATGTGAAAACATTTTTCTATAAAAAACACTAAAAATGAATGTTATGACTTCGCATGTGAAACTATATGTGATCATAAACCTATATATAATCTGTAATATAGATGAATTATTTAGTGCTTGCTTTTTTTATTCAGAAACTATGGTATTTTCTAAGAATACACTATTATATATGAAGCATAACCTATGAATACAAAAGCAAACAAGACAAAATGGTGTCTTCTACAAAGTTTAGAACGGGGGAGTGACAAGCAAAGGATTAAATATAATACAGAATACATTTGATTATAAGTGCAGAGTGGAGTGTGGCATGACAAGGACTAGTGTATGCAGGAAGGGAGTGCCAAGGAGGTGAACCTGGGCTAATTCTTAGAGAAAAAAAGTGGGAGTCAGCCAGTTGAGAGAGATCACAGGAAATGTTAAGTGTTAGGCTCCATCTATAAAGCAAAGGAGTTTGGAATAACTGGAGCTTTTTAAACAGGGTAGTGATATTTATAAACCTAAGGTTCCAAAGTTTAAAGCAAATAGCCTTGGCTGGTCAGGCTCAGTGGATTGAGCGCTGGCCTGCAAACCAAAGGTAGTGGTTTGATTCTCAGTCAGGGCACATGCCTGGGTTGTGAGCCAGGTCCTTTTGGGGGTGTGCAAGAAGCAACAGATAGATGTTTCTCTCTAGAAATGAATAAATCTTAAAAAAAAAATAAAGATGTTGTGAAGACCTATTATAATTCATCCTGCAAAGTAATATAAATTACTTTTTTGCATTACCTATTGAACATGCCTTCCTCCATTAGTAGGGGTACTGAGAGATTATTGAACTTTGTATGTCTTGCTTTGAACACTAAATCTTAATATCATCTTAACTGTCACCTGGACATAGTAATTTATTTTGTTTCACATATTTGAAGTAACAGTCATGTGAGAGTAATACACATTTCATGTAAGTACCTTGAGAATTAGTCATACTGAAGAAGGACTGAAGCACTGGAAGCAGTTTTTCTGAAGAAGTATTTTTCTATATATTAAACTCACTTTCTTCATATTATTTTAACTAGCATTTGAGTTCTTCTAAGCTGTAAAATCATTTAGAGACATCTTTTCCAAATGATTTCTAAATAATTCTATGTAAATGCAGTACAAATATATTTTCTCCTTAAAAGCTTGATTTTCAGGGGTGTGCCATTTCTAACAATAAACTGTAAGAACTTTTATAACCTCAGTGTTACCCTGAATAAATCACAGCTCTGGCCTTTGGAGTCCTATTCTGTAAAATGAAAAGACTGAGACAGTCGACCCATTCTATGGTTTCTGATTTTCTTTCATTCTAATTATCTGGAGCCTGGCATAGTTGGAAGCAACCTGTATTTTAAAGTTCAGAGCATTACTTATTACTTAATCTCTTTAGATTTGCAAAATGAGGATATTAAAATCTGCCTAACAGGCCCATTGTATGGATGAATTAAGTTCATTTTTTTTGTTTGTTCTTTTCTTAGAAGTAGGATTTAAGTTGGATTTATATACTGATTTGTTTCTTGGACATATCTGGTAATTAAAGGTATTTAATATATGTGGCATCCACAACATAATGACTTAATTTTTTTACACTTAAACTAAAAAATTTGGAGAAAAATTTTAAGTTCTTAATTCCTCCCCTCCTCCATTACTGTTGGCAAAAATTTCTGAAGAACCATTCCATGGGAAGCTTTACATGGTTAGGAGGCCATGCTTCTCACCTGCCAGCTCCATCACAACAAAAAGAATTAATGTATAGCACACACTTAGGCAAGTATTTACATATAGCACCGTGTCCAACCTTTTGGCGTCTCTGGGCCACGTTGGAAGAAGAGTTGTCTTGGGCCACACATTAAATACACTGAGACACGTAATAAAAAAAATCTCATGGTGTTTTAAGTAAATTTACAATTTTGTGTTGCACCACGTTCACAGCCAACCTGAGTGGCATGCGGCCTTCGGGCCGCAGGTTGGACACCCCTATTAAGGCTTCAAGTTTAACAGTTCACCATTTCAATGCTAAGAGAAAAATTATTGCAGTAAATATTGCCATATAAAACCCTACCCAATTTCTATTATTTTACATGTCACTGCGGCCAATAATCACTTTCATGTAGAAGGATGGGCCAAAAATTCTTTCTGCCAGGTCCTGGTACAATGTATCACCGTTGAAACAAAACTGTCTCCGGTGCCCCACACCCTCCACACCTCCACCCCTGCTCCAGAAGCCGTGGGCCACAATCCCTGCTCGCCCCTCACCCCCGGCTCCTCTTTTGCGATTCCGCTCCAGGCACCTCTCGCGCAGAGCTCTCACCTGCAGACCCTGCTGCTGGAGGCTCTGTGTGATGTAGTCTAAGCGGCGGCAAACGCTTTTCTTGGCTTCGGCCGCGGCCTCCTTGGTGCTGCTCACCAGCACTGCTACCTGCGCTCGGTCGGGGCTCGCAGACACCTCCGCGGTACCGCTTACGTGCACCTCGCGGGTCGAAGTCTGGCCCTGTGCTGAGAGGGGACGGCGCAGGCCTGGCAGCGTTTCTCCGCCCGAGACCAGATTGTTCTCCTGGCCCCGGTCAGCCCAGGGAACCAGTTCCACGAACACCCGAGACGAAGAGGCCTTTTGCAACGACATCCTGAAGGCAGCTGAGTTACCATAGTAACTCAGAGCTGACGGTGGCCGAAGGGGTCAAAGCGCTGGAGGGCTGTCTCGTGAGCGTCGCAAGGGATGCTGGGGTGGGTTTGGAGGTCCGGGAACTTCTAGAGGGTGGGAGGTACAGGTTGTGGTGGAGGTTTCTGCTACCCGTATCTTTTTCACACGGTGTTGGCTGAACAGGTCGTTATACTTTTTAACGTTTAACCTTACCTCCGTCAAAAACTTAGTAAGCTTTCTTCGTGGCCGCCCTCTCAATGAGCCCCGCCTTTCTACGCCCACCGTCCCCCTTCGCCCCTGGCCTTGAGCTCCTTGCTTGAAGTTCCTGAGAGGTCGGGTCGAGCCGTGCGGGATTGCTTTTACACATACAGTATTTATTCGAAGCGGGTCTGTAATATTTTTCAGCCCCGTTTTCTTTGACTGTACCGTTCCTTTCGCACACGGCTTAAGTCGCAATAGAGCCATGGTTCGCAAGAGATTTTTTGGGGTGAACCACTTTTTGGCAGTTTGATTTTGGGGAGTTGCAGTACTTGATTTTCACTTTTATCTGCTCTTATGGTACGGTGATAATACGTTTCACATTTGCAGTGTGATTATAAAGTGCTTGCAAATGGACTGCTGAGAGAAACTGATAGCTGATAGTAATAGTAGCTAAACCTTTGGCAGGATTTTAAAGTCTTCGATTTTTTTCTCAAGTCCCTGGAATTGTTCTGGCCTTGAGTATGTCTTGGAGAGTTTTTAGTGGTATGAAAGTACGTTCAACATGAACATTGCTGGACAACTTAACATCTTGTCTATTCCCTTTTTTGGGAGTACAACACAACCTTTAAGCCACTGACCCTCATTAGATAGGTTTTCTTCTACCGCTATGGATGTGAAACTATCGATTCCTCTTGTCCCAGGAGGGGGGAAAAAGAATTTTGAGTAACTAATTTTGTAAATAAGGAGTACTAGTCTCTCCAAAGGAACCTGAAAAAGCCAACTGTTGATCCTCAAGTAGTTTCTTCTCTATCATTTTCTTTTTCTAGTAAGAATTCAACTGAATTAGACGGTACTCTCTCCCTTTCTTCATTGGCCTAGCACTGGTTTAAAGTAATTTCCTCTATATTTATTTTGCTCTTTATCATTACTTAAAACAATGATATGATAGTACTTTGCTTTAAAACATTAATAATTTTTCTCCATACTTTTAATAGTTTGAGGTAATCAAAATAATGATTCTTGAATTTGACGGAAAGTTCATTTTTTGTAATGATAAATGTAGAACAATCTCCAAAGTGAGTTACTGAGTGAATGAATGTCACGAGTACAAAGCAGCGTGTTTTAAGTGTATGTTAGTATTTAGGAAATGATAAAAGATTTCAAATAAATGGGAAAATAAGTGGTACAGGGATAATTGGTTAGCTACATGAAAAAAATAATTGCTCTATTTTGTATCACATACTGAGAATAAAATTCAAAGGAGACAAAAAATTGGAATAAAATATAGGTGAATGTAAATAGACTTGTAATTCTGTAAATGGAAAGGATTTTCTAAGCACAGCTTAAAATGCTACAACCATAAGGAAAGGTATGAAAATTTTGACCACTGAAAAAAGTTTTCAGTGTACAAAAACAAAACAAAAAAATGAGGGGACAAATAAATTGGGAGAATTTGTAAACTGAAGTCATACCTCACTACTAGTCGTTTTCAGAACTCATCAAACTCCATATATGTTACCTTTTGACCAAGTTCAGCACTTGGTGCTTGCTTGGGGACATGTGTTTCACTTGCTAGAACTTGTGTGAGTCACTAGCCACTTCTCAAGAGAAAATGCTTCATTGTTGGGTATTAGTTGATTTTGGCACTTATCACAAGTTCCAGAACGAATTAATGATGGGTACTGAGATACCAGTGTATTTATTTCATACAAAAGGCTAATAACCTACTGTTCAGAAAATTGTTAACAGAAAACAATGAAATAGATAATGAAAACAAACTCTATTAGTTAAGGCTGCCATGACAAAATACCACAGACTAGATAGCTTATCAGAAATTTATTTTCTCACAGTTCTGGAGTCTAGAAATCTAAGATCAGGGTGTTGATAGGTTTGGTGTCTTCTGAGGCCTTTTTTCTGGATTTTTAGAAAATCTCAGTGTGTACTCACATGGCCTTTCTTATATATGGAAGCATTTCTAATGTTTCTTCTTTTTTTTATAAGATCACCAGTTTCACTGGGTCAGAGCTCCACCCTTATGAACTCATTTAACTTTAATTTCCTCTTGAAAGGCCCCATCTCTGAGTATAGTCACATTGGGGTTTAGCAATTCAACATATGTACTTGGGGGCTAGAGGACACAATTCAGTCCATAATACACACCGCTTAAGCAGAAATACTAATGATCTAAACATGGGAAAAAAGTTTATCCTCACCAGTAGTTAAAGAATGCAGATTTAACGATAATGAAATATTCTTTTTCTGAATTATCCTACAATAAAGGCAGTGGAAATGGAGATATAATTAGATAAAGGTAATTTTGAAAGAAGAGTGGAATCATTCTTGGTGACATTCTATAGTGATAAAAGAGCAGGATAAGACATAGCTGAGTTTGAGGTTTTCAGCCTGGATAATGCAGAATGAATGAGGTTGATAGAATATATTTATTTGTGCAGTTCACAGTGACCTAGTTCTTTGTCAAAGGCAAGGCTGATCCTCTAGCAACCATTTTGAGTAAGATGACTATTTTACACAATTTGATTGGACCCAGAATAGGCACCTCATTCAAGGTGGGCCAATTAGAGGTTTTTGTTTTTGTTTTTAGTATGGAAATTCATATTCACATCAAATTTTAAAAACTCAAGTTTCTTAGATATCGTAACATGGCATACATTCATATATACATATAAAACCTTGTGAGATATGGATTGTCAATTTTTCACAAACCATTTCTAGTAGAGAAGAAGAAAATGTCAGTGTGCAGAGAAAAGGAAGGATGATGAGAGACAGGATATCATACATTCAGAGAGGAACAGAGATGAGATAGAGGAAGAGTCCAGAGGTAATTCCAATCTCTGTTTCTGGAATTTTCCTTACGCCTGCTTTCATTCTTGCCCTGTAGTTCTAAAAAATATTTGTATCCTTATTGTAAAATCTGTCCCTCTTTTTTGCATAAGTTACTTGACTCAGTTTTATATTATCTTAAAATTAAGAATATTAACTGAAAATAGTGTATAATAGAGAAGAATTCCAACCTCTCATATAGCTTTCAGCCTAAAGGACTTATAGAGCTCCCCACAAAGTGAATCATTGGATGCACAACTCAGAGCTTCACCCTTTGAGAAAATTTCGCTCTTCATGGTCATTCAAGGACACTCAGGGATCTGATGCTGTCATGCAGATGCCTTCCATTTCTTTTTACTTTTTAAAGATTTTATTTATTTACTTTTAGAGAGAGGGGAAGGGAGAAAGAAAGAGAGGGAGAGAAACATCAGTGTGTGCTTGCCTCTCATGTGCCCCCAACTGGGGACCTGGCCTGCAACCCAGGCATGTATCCTCACTGGGAGTCAAACCTGCGACGCTTTGGTTTTCAAGCCATCTCTCACTCAACTGAACCACACCAGCCAGGTCATGCCTTCTGTTTCTAACTGTAACCTGCTTATCCAGCCAACCCATTTGTAAACCTATCCATAAAAGTTCAGGGTTTTTCCTCTTTGTTTAGCTGATCATACAAGAACCCCCATATAACCATTGGTGAGAGCTGAGAACAATGTTCTAGTGTAACCTTGGTGGGTGCCGTGGGACTCTGGATTACCTGCTCATCCAGCTTGCTTATATGTCCTCTTATCTTGCTCATGCTTGGTGTCCTAGATGTAGTATTTTCATCTTTTGATGGGTTTCTGTTTCATCTTTTGATGAACTGTCTGCCTGTACAGCTTGGAGTGTCTGACAGGACCCATCTTATCCTGGGCAATTCCAAATATCTCAAAGAAAATTTAGAGGAGAATGGAGCAATATATTCTATATGCTGAGTGAAAAAAAATAGCCTAGAAGTAGGTATTAAACTGAATCTCAAGAATGATGGGAAAATGGATATATTTTCAGACATACAAAGACTTAAGGGAATGTACCATCTATAGACTCTCACTAAAATATCATGCCAGGGCCTATCTACTGGTGTGGCTCAGTTGGTTGGGCATCGTCTACAAATCAAAAGGTCTCTGGTTTGATTCCTGGGCATATGCCTGGGTTGTAGATTTGGTCCCTGTTGGGGCATGTATGGAAAGCAATCACTTGATGCTTCTCTCTCACATTCATGTTTCTTTCCCTCTCTTTCTCCCTCCCTTCCCTACTCTCTAGAATGAAAAAAATATTTTAAAAAATATTTTCATAGTGTATGCCTCTGTAATACTAGTGAGTCCAAGAGAAAGGAGTGGTGTAGGAGAAATAACAATTATCACAGAAATTGGTAACAAATCCAGAAATTTAATTACTTATGAAAATGATTTCTTGTTTGTATGTGAGTGGTTAAATAAAAACAAACTAAAAAAAAAGCTCTAGATATTTATGACAAAGGAGAGACATTCTTTGCATTTGGCTAAAGAATATTAAGGTCCTTATATAAAAAGAAGCTAGAGATACTGAATTGCTTTAGACTTTATCATAATATTTTGTAGTTATTTATGTATGGAAATATATATCAGTAAACAAATCAGAGGCAGAAAAGAAGGCTCAAGAAGTAGGAGAAAGATTTAAATAAGACAATGTTATAAAGCCAGTGGATGTTAAATTTTTTGAGAAGGGAAAGGTGGTTAATAATGTCAAATGCGCTTTTCATGAAGATGGCGCCCAAAGCAAAGAAGGAAGCCCCTGCCCCTCCCAAAGCCTAAGTCAAGGCAAAAGCTTTGAAGGCAAAGAAAACAATGCTAAAAGGCGCCCACAGCCACAAAAAGAAGATCTGCACGTCACCCACCTTCAGGAGGCCTAAGACACTGCTGCTCCGAAGGCAGCCTAAATATCCTCAGAAGAGCGCCCCCAGGAGAAACAAGCTTGGCCACTATGCCATCATCAAGTTCCCCCTGACTACT